TCGCACTACTTCCTGGCCATAAAGTAGTGTGTGATTGATGATCTGTTTTATGATTGTTTTGACTGGATGAAGTCCAGTTTTGCTGGATGGGGACATGCAGATGCATGCTGGAGCAGGATGTAGGGGATGAATATGAGTGGGGGGGTCTTTTGATTGAAAAGTAAAGGTGCTTGTGAGCGTGTGTGTATGCATGTGCGTGTGGAGGTGGATTTTCCCCTGCCACACCCACCTGACAGGGAATCGATGTGCAGCGAGACACAAAGTGATGAATAGTGTGTGTGGACTGACTTACCGAATGTGTTGCTCTCTTACTCAGCCTTCCTCCTTCCTTCCTTCCTTCCTCCCCCTCCTCCTCCTCCTCCTCATCTGTCTGGAGAAAGAAAGAAGAAAACGCTTCTCTATTGAGATAACAAGACCAATATCCGCCAACTTCTGCTTTGAGAGAAAAGGCAAACATTTACTGAAGAGCCAAGTGACTAAAGAGCTTTGAGTTTGGAGAGCAAAGTCCCTGCCTTATTGATGCAGTCATGTTTTTTGTTGTTTATTTAGCTATAGTTATAAAGCAGCAGAGGTTTCTAGGTTCCTCAGTTGGGCCGTTGTGCAGAGCAGACTGTTGGAAAGCTGTAGTTTCTGACACTCATTTGGCCACCAGAGGTGTGAGTTACAGTTTGCCCTTCTAAAGCCATTATTTCTCAGTCTAGTCATCAACAGGCAGTTTTTGTTGCACTTTTCAGTCGGGCAAGTTAAACATACACAGCGGTGTGACTGTGGGCGAGACGTGTGGAAGCTAAGCTGTGATTCTGGACGGGACCTTTCAGCTTCACAGCAGGTCGGACCTCATTAAGTCGTCTGGCTGAGAGGGGAAGTTGAGGACTTCTGTACCGCAACAACGAAACAAGATACCAGTGATCTCATCCTCCTCTTCCCTTCATTCATCCCAAGCACTTATGAGTTGCCTTGGCAACTTGTGCGCTCTGTGTGTGTTTGTGTGTGTGAGCATGAGCGGGGGCCTGAGAAACCACAGAGTGAAAATTATGTGTCATCAGAGAGGATTAGGAGCCCACGGTTTAGTAAAGGGCTTGGGATCCTGCTGCTGTGATGCTTGAGGGTTTTATTCAATGTAAACACACACATTCTAAAAACACAAACACACACACAGACACACTGAACCTGATGCGTCCAACAAAGGCAGGGACTAATGACAATGAAGACTGAAATTGATTTTCTTCCTGTAACCTGCAACAAATCGGTAAACGATTCTCTGGAGGAAAACAACCAGAAAGGTCAAATTTATCAGCTGAAGAAACTGTGTGGATGTGTTGAAGGAACATGAAGTGTCATTAGGGTCCAAGGTGCTCTCTGTTCTCCTTTCACTCCCCGTCCCTGCTGCCGATTTTCCTTTTCACTTTGAGCATATAAGCTTTACTTTCCTGTCCAGATCACATGGATATGAGACCAGCTCATGAAACATGCACCTTGAAGGTGACTCAAGTTTTAATCTTAAAATCTGAAAAGATCATTGTTGACTAATATATCTTCAGTATCTGACTGAGCAGTGTTAGCATGGAGGATAAATGAACACGTCAATGTGCACGTCTTTAGACTTAACCTGAAATACCTGACCAGGGTTGAATATTATTGCAATAGTTTAGATAAGATGGTATATTTAGATAAATGCTAGAGTGATGCACCTTTTTCCTTTTGTTACATCTCACTGTTATTACTGTATTTGTAAAATCTAGACTCACGATGAACTGCTATTTCCTATCTCTCTTATTGTGATATTGACACTAGACATAAAACTACTCTGTCTTTATGAACCATTCATCCCATATTGTTTATCCTTCGAGGGTTGCTGACACAAGAGACAGGGTACATGCTGGATGGGTTGCCAGTCTATAACAAGGCTAGAATAGGTATAAAGCATAGACTATATATAAAGCCCCTTTTCCATTAGTCAAAAACCTGTTAACACCCACTAACATCTGGCTTTTGTCAGATGTGGGAATGATGCAATTGGCATTCACGCTCACGTCAAATGTACCTGCAGCAGGCACGGAATTTTATCAGCTCCGGCTCCAATTGGCTATGATTGAAACATGATACCTGGGTGTATGAGCTTATTTAGCAGACGGTGAGCCGAGAGAGCCCCTTGCTTGTTGATTCGCTCGTGATGTTTACCAGTAATTTAAAAACCTGCTTCTACATGCTCATTTTGGTGTAAAAGAGGTAGAAGAATGGAGGAAATGAAGGCTCCCTAAAAGTGAAGCCAAAATCCGTCAGAGGTCATAAACCCCACCTCCTATATGTTATGATGGGTTAGTCAAAGTACACATTAAATACAATTTTCTCAAAGATTGTTTTCTGTCATTTTAGGTAGTTCTTACCACACTTAAGTGCTATGTTTTCCTGTAATTTTAGTTTGAATTAGTTATTTGAGTGATACATCATTATTGACAGCTAACTTGTGATTGGTCGAGCGGGTGTATCTGCGCAACCTCAATAACGCAGCTCCACCCCCCCCATCACCACCACACAGTCCAGTATAATTTGGTTTCATTTCTGGATAGTGGGAGGAAGTGGAGATACATTGTTCATCTTCATCTACAGTCTGTGGTATTAACAATTAAAAGACTTAATATGGCGCCCTGCTCTGTGAACTTGAACTAAGTACAGACGTAGTACACGTTTCCCTTCCTGTTTACTTTTCCTTCCTTTTTTACACCTCTGTCAAGCTCTCTTGTTCCTGCCAGTTGTCTCTTCTGCCTTTATTTTCTCTCTTTACACACCATCCGCCACTGCTCCCATCACTATTTCCTCTCTGTTTCCACTCTTCCTTTTCTCCTTTCTGTCTTGCTGCTGTCTGTTAATAAACCTCCCAGCGTCACCCTCTAACCTTGCCGCAGGAAGTTTCCTGTGCTGAAACGGAGCCCACGCTGGATTGCTTCCTGCCAAAGTGCGTTGTGGGACACGTTTGTTTGGACCCCCCTTCTTCCTTCTTCTCCTCCGCCTCCTCCTCCTTGCCTTCTGCTCCCCTTGTTGCTTCCTCCTCTGGGCTCTGTGCAGATGGCCGAGGCCGGCAGACCGGATCTCGGAGGGGTTTTGGCAGAGCAGCACCGCTCTCCGGCCCTGGAGAGAGCATACCGCAGCCATGACCTCGTGACCCAGGCTGCACTGCCGCCTCGGCCTCGCTGCTCTCACAAGTCAGCCACGAAAGACAAACATACAGCTGGTGCTCGCAGTGCAGATGGTAGTGTGATTCAATATTGACAAAAAAAAATCAATGATGTCGTCAGTTATGAGTATTCCATTGTATCCTACATCTATGTGTTCCAGTTAAAATGAAACGTTATGCAAGACCATGGTTTTCTAAACACATTGAAAAGCATTCTGGTTTAAAGTTACCTTTACTGCATTATTCATCAGGGTGAGTAGTACTAAATACATGCATATTTACGTATAGTATACACATACTAGAAGCAACAAATAATGTATGTTGCACTAACCAGCAGACCTTAAAAAAAAGTAGAAACCCTCCTTTAGTCCCATTGGTTGTGAAACACCTGTATCCTCATATACACTTTGTACTGTATGTCTGTTGACAAGCTGCGGGTCAGCGCTCGACAGGCTGTGCTTTAGATAACCTCGGCCTTCCCGGGCTTATCGTCTGCGCTCGTGCCACTATCTGAATACAGTGGACTAGGGACGAAATGGGAAGCTGACAATCTAGACAGGGTTTCATTTTATATTGATTGCTCTCTGTGAAAACTTCCTTTGTTTGACGGTTGGTGGTGGTGTTTGAATGGAGGGAGGACTGAAAGCGAACACACGGTTCCTATTACTCGTGTGACAGTGACATTGGCGGCCAAAGATAACAGCTGTCCAACTCCCAGAGGAAGTGTTTGAGTCTGGGCGATAACTGAGATGTAAGAAATGAGAAGTTATGCTCTGTGTGGGTGTCGTGGATGTTCTGATCGCAGCCTTACGCCACTGAAAGTCTGTTTTTGTGTGTGTGAAACAGAAAAAGAGGGGGGGTGAGTCATAGTGTAAATCATTGGATTACACACTGAGAGCAAAACAAAATGATAGGATGAGGTGGCCATGTTAACCAAGATAAATACTAACAAAGTAAAAATGTACATCTTAGTTTTGAGCTATTCTGCTAGCTAACGTATGCTCAGAAAAACTAGCTCAACAAAAGTATTGCTGCCTCCACCGCAGCTGTGAAAAATATTTCAATGCTGCAAAAATGTTTTCAAATTTCAAGTAAAGTGAACATTTATTTCGATTATTTTCACAGTCCTCTCTTTTTTGTCACTAAATGTTTGTTGGTCTGCAATGCAGATATTTCACACCCTGTTCCCACAGCAGTGAGAGAAACGTTTCAAAAGAGGGGGAAATTCCTCTTTCTTTTTCCTCCATGTCTCCTTGTCCATTTATACACAAACTAATAAAGTGGCTGTCCTCTAATGTGCCGGTCTGCCTAGAGAGCAAAGAGCAGAACTGATCATAACAGATCAAATGAAATAACAGTCCGACCGTCTTTCTCATATATTCCCTCCTCTTTTATCCTTGTGATTCATTCTGTATTCTTCCCCTTAACCTATCATCTTCTCATCTTTTATTCTCCCCCGCTCCCCCTTTCTGTCTCTGCCTTCTCCTTCATCTTTTTTTTCTTTATCTCTGCCACCGTTCCCATAATCACTCCCTCCTTTTGGCTTTTATATCCGCTTCCTCAATATCCTTTTTACTGCCTCTGCCTCCTTCCTTCCTCTCTCCCCCCCTCTCCCACCCTGTCACCCTCCCCCTTCCTGCCTTTCCTTCTTTCTTCCTTCCTCGACCCCCCAACCCCCTGCCCGACTGTTTTTCCTCTCACTGATCTGACTAATCTTTCTTTTCATCCCTCTTTTCCCCTCCACCACCATTTTATTCTGATACATCTTTATCAAACCCTGCTCTCATCTTCTACCTTCCGCTTCCTCTGCCCCTCTCACCTGCAGGTCTGCAGCCAGTCTTTTGGAGCAGGGAAGACGTGGCCCAGTGGCTGCGATGGGCCGAGAAGGAGTTCGCCCTGCGGCCGATCACCAGCGGCTCTTTCCAGATGAATGGCAAAGCCCTGCTGCTGCTCACCAAAGAGGACTTCCGCTACCGATCTCCCCACTCTGGTACTCCTCTTTTTTTCGATTCTTCTATCCTAGAAGCTGGGAAAACTGGAGACATAAGTGAAAAGTTTTGCAAATGAGTCACTTTTATTGATTGGATTAAACATTATTTTTGAGTCCAACTGGAGCGGGACTCAGACTGGAAAACAAGATTTACCAAGTAGGTAGGAAGAACAGTGTAAGATCATGGAAACACTGACTGAGTGGGTGCAAGAAAATCATGGAAAAAGTGCTATAACTATACATAGAAGCTGCTTTTCTGAGGAAAACACCTGCTGTCACACGATGACTGATTGGAGTAAATGAAACTAAAAATGGATAGTTTGTAAGATGAGGCAAACAAATTGTGCTTGAAGATCTGTGTTTGTGCAGCTTTAAAATGAATGTGTTCACAGCAAACATGCACACTTTAAAAATCAATAAAGTCAGCTGGAGTAGAGGAGGGAGGGCGGCAGCAACAGTGGAGGGAGGCAGCTGTTACAGTGAGGCTGCTGAGGGTAGGAAGTAGGAGACAGTTGATCAGGAAGTAAAAACCAACCTCAACTGTCGCCCTGGCAACACAATGAACCAGGCTCGTGAAAATAAAGGGAAAAAAATGCAACCGTTTTGGAGTTCTATCTAAAAATGTGTCAGTTTGTGTGCGACTGTTGGTGTAGAGTCGTGGAAATGTTTCACCACACAGAGATGAGGTCAGCGATGTGTGTTGTGGCTCAGGGTGATGAGACATGAAAGTGGGATGTAATGAGTGGTCAACATTGTGAAATATACAGATAAGACATGGGAGAAATCCCCCACACACTGGAAACTGTAGGGATGATCAGGTCATGTTGGGTTCAGAAATGTGCAGGAATCATATGGATTAGAAATGACTACATAACACAAACACTTCAATTCATAAATAGAAGGATAAATGCATAACTAAATGCATAGTTTTTCCCCCTACTTCTAACCTTAGTGTACAGCAGTGTTGGTCCAGGATTGATCAGCTCCTTTACTTTTACCTTGATTGTGATATATAAAGCGCAGTAGACGACTGCCCAGTGGGGTTGTTGGAACTAATTTAGAGAGTAGATGATGGGGTCAAAATTATATAATTTGATATCGATAATTATCACAATCACTGTCACATTATTATTTATTTTATGGTTTTTGTCCCTGTGTAAAAGTTTGTGGGTTTGAATTTGTTTTAATGAGCAGAGAACCACAAACTTAGTCAATTATTTGTTATACCTCTATGTAGAAAAATGTAAAAGTTGCTCTGTACAGCTGGAGCAGTGTAGTGATGTTTCCTTCTGTTTTCATGCTCAGAAACGCAGAAAAGATAAGATCTTCAAGTGTTACATTACGTGTTATGAAAATCTGAGAGAGTGAGAGACGTGGACCAGCTGGCAGCTGTTGTCCACCTCCTGTATGGTTGTTTCCTTTTCAGATATATGTCAAAAATGTTTATATCATGGAAAAAACAATTCTGGGAGAAGAAATCTGAAAACTTGCTCGACATTTCAACATTTCGGTTTTAATGTATCAGCAATCTTGAGCTTTTTAGTTAACATCGTTTCCCTAAAACATAATCATGTGTTTTCAAATGATTACAATGACTGATTACATTTCAACATCAGCAGATGCTTTGTTAGTAACATCAGTGAAAATATCACTTTTAGGGAAGAGAGATGTGCTTTTGCGTGATGTCTGTTTCCTCCTCTGGGCATTTGTTGGACTAAAGTTCCCATCAGTCCCTGCTGTGTGCCACATTTTCCTCCTACAAATATTGTGAAATAGTAGAGCATGTATTTCTTAACCTCTCTTCCAATCACAGCTTCATGGTTAGACTTTAAGCTTTAGTTTTACGTAGGAGTTATGGCTGCAAGCTAACATGCCACTTGTGAATTTACTCATACGCATAATTGATAAGGATTTATAGTTTTGCAGATTTAAGACAAAATGCAAACCTCAAAGTTTAAGCAAACGTTTATAAAGTGAAAAAAATCTAACTTTAATGCATCAGGAAGCAGGAATTTTCCCTCTTCTGCAACTCAATGCCACAGGATCAGAAAGCGAGAACTGAAAGGGGTGTGTGTGTGTGTTTGTTTGTGTGCACACGCTCACATCGCTTCCTTTATGAGAATCATTTCCTCGTTATGGTTAGCCTGTAAGAAGAGGTGAGGCAATGTGCGATAGCAGTCTGTGTTAAAAATCACGTCTACATCCACCTGATTTGTGAACCATGCAAATGTTGTCGGTGTGGAGGCAAAACAAGCGGCTGCTAATCATTCAGTGAACTTCCTACTCAGCTTTTGTGCCTGGTTTCACCACTACTGTATAACCACTTAAAGGAGAATACCAGGGTCATACAGAGCTACGGCCCATTTACTTGTGTCAACAGATAGTAGGTGTTTTCTGCCTCCATCTCCTGGTGTGTGTTTGGATTTGTCATATTGTTATTTTAAAAATCAAATTTTTTTCACAGATTCTTTGCCCTGTGGGAATCTCCTCCTTCTTCTGCTGCTGCTTGTCTTTGAAAACACACGCTCAAAAGCAATTTCTTTTAGTTTAATTGAAAGAATTAATTTGCTCTGTGGAGGCAAAATGCTTGATCTGTCAGAGCAAACTCACTGGGTACAGTCCCGCACCAGAAGGAAACCTATAAACTTTTGGCATTCTATATAATCACTGCGTCGTCAGGTTCGAATATTGAGGAAATGTTTTTCTAGTAACAAACCTGATTTGCCTTTCCACGTTCTCCTGAGACTGACGTGGTGGCTGCCTCCTTTGTGACTCTTCCATTACTGCTTAAGCTCTGCACTGCCTGGAAAGCAAAGAGTAGAAGCTGAAGGGGAACCTGATTCTGTGGTTGACGCCACCACTAATTTCCCCTCTTTTTGCAGGAGATGTATGGTAACCTCTGACCTTTTCATCTCTGTAGGGGATGTCCTGTATGAGCTGCTGCAGCACATCCTGAAGCAGAGGAAGCCCCACGTGTTCTACCCCTCTGCCTACTTCCCTGGGAACTCCTTCCACTCGCTGCCCGAAAGCCCTGTGCAGCACGTGAAGCTCGAAGGTCAGGCCAATAATTTTCTAAACCCTCAGAGTAATCTGCACTAGATAGACTAGATCAACATTTTTGTTGATAATAAATACAAACTGTTCTCATAGTTTTATTCAAAATAATTTAATGCCACACACAGCATCTGTAAAACGTTATCAGCTGAATGTATCAGAAAGGTAAACAATGTAGAGACAGACATTTAAAATAAAGATAATGTTTTAGTTCAAAGTTTTTTAGATTATAATATGTGATCTTGATTTAACAAATCATGTAATTAATATTTATATCAATTGACATATCAAATTAGAAAATATTTTAAAGTAAAATTACACTACTTAGCTAAGCAGCTTAGTTAAGTAAAAGGTAAATCATCAACAATACGTCCACAGTCATGTTGTCAAGCTGTGAACCACACCTCAGTGACACCTGAGGTGTGGTTCACACTGAATGAGTCATTTTCCAGCTACATGTAAAAAATGAGGATAAAAAAAATCATTTTCAACTGAGTCGTGTCAACTACAATGTCGTCGAGTTGTCTAATATTAGCTCCCTAAACACATCTTTTTGATTATGTAGCTTTCAATTTAGTGACATCGTTTGTCTGAAGTAGAAAATATAGAGGTTCAATGTACATGCACAGAATGTAAAACTGTATTACTGTGGGAAATAAGCCGGCTTGAGTGTGGATGCTAACAAATGTTGAGGAAAACATACTGTTCATATGAACGTTTTATACAAATGTCCACATGAACAGTTTGAACCACTGAGGCGTGGTAAAAATACAATTTGAATGTTGGATATAACAAAACAATTTTCTAAAGAAAATGCTAAAATATGTTTTCCTGACAAGAATATTGAAAGAATATGGTCAATATAGGAAGATAATTAAAGAATTTATCATTTGTAAGCATGGTGCTGAAAAGTTCTCTACACTTATTGGTGCCTGTGTTTAGTGTAATCATGAAGTAAAATTGATACCTGAGAATGTGAATTTGGCTCTGATTTGAGGAAATGTCCTTCAGTGGCAACGGGACTGGATAGAACAGTAATTCTTCAGAATGTGGCTGTTGACAATACAACCTGTTCCACAAGGATATGTTGTTATTTAAACAGGCTGCGGCACAGGACGCCTAAAACAGGAGTTATTGGCTCTCGGCTATAAATGACTCTTGTCCTCCTTGTTTTGAGGTCACTGCGTTTTTGTTCATGGATTTTGAAAGAAAGCATTAGAGCAGAATTCAAGCTACTGCCAAGACAAACCAGAGACCTTTCACCAAACCTGATCAAACATAATGTTACCAGGCTTGACTGTAGGATGATAGTGACATCTACTGGTCATTTATATGTGAAGCAAGTATATCAGGGAAGCAGGAAGTTAAACTCCTCTAAAAAGATATCACTTCATTTTCATTCCCAATACTCAGACTGTCGGGGCAAGATTTTGGATTTAATTGCACTTTAAACACTGAAGAGTAGAAAATGGCTTCATACAACTTGTCCCGTATGTACAATATATGTACAATGAGTGGTAAAAAACACAGAACTAGTACACAACCAAACTATGTACCCAAAAACCCACAGTGGTTTTCATAACCCGCCCATTAGTTTCTAAATCAATCAATGAATTGGGTCAATTTGAGGTCAGATTTCAGTTTCTTAAATGTTTTTATTTCCCACAGATTCGACAAAATGCAAGTATTATTTTATAGTGTAACTTGACTGTAGATATTTATGCATATTGTTGCTCTGGTTTCTTCAGAAACGGTACGACGAGGGCCACGTGGTACAGAGCCACCCCCCCAGCACCCACCAACCATCGAGCTGCGGCACCGCTCCCGCTCCCCTCACCACCCAACCCTGCGTCGATCCCCTCTGGAGCCCAATCACCCTCGCCCCGCCAACGATGACTCCCTCCAAACCTTCTCAGAGCTGCCAGACAGCAACCACCACCTGCACGAGGAAATGTACCCCTTGTCTGTGTCCCCAGCCACAGCGAACGGCCGCTGCACGACGCCGCGAGAACCCCCGTGCCCGGGCAGCCCTGGGGGCCAGGAGGCGGGCCCTCCTCGCGTCATCCAGCTCATGCCCAGCACCATCATGAACCCTCTGCTCCTCACCCCGAGCAGGAGTGGTGGGGCTGCCGGCATGGACTTCAGGCACAGCCGAGGCGGACCCCTGTCCCAGACGACACACGAGAACGGGCGTGAAAGTAAAGTTCACGGCCACCACCATGCGATACCCCTGGCACATCAGCAGCAGCACCTGCTGCAGCAGGAGGAGGCACTCTACAGGAACCACGTCATCATGCCTGTGTCTCCTCCAGAGGAGCAGCAGATGCCCATAGGACGGATAGCAGGTGAGATTCACTCCTACTGAGGTTGAAGGTTAAATACGTGTGAGGGGACGTCTCGATTTAAAAACACATGTGTCTTTAGTCACAAAGTGAGCAGATGTTTCCAGAGACAGCAGCATATTAGAGACTTATCTCTGGGGAATTGCTGACACAATGCAGGGCAGTGGTGCAGCTTTGAAGGACAGAAGTCAGACATTAGAATGTCTTTTGTAAAACTCACGCTGTTTTCCTGTCGTGTCCCTGCAGACTGCAGGCTGCTGTGGGACTACGTCTACCAGCTCCTGTCAGACAGCAGGTACGAGAACTACATCCGCTGGGAGGATCCAGAGAGCAAAGTCTTCCGCATCATGGACCCCAACGGCCTGGCCAGGCTCTGGGGGAATCACAAGGTAAACACTCAAACACAAACACACACACACACACACACACACACACACACATGCAGTGAACTACCAGGTGTCCACTTTGTTGGTGCTTCTCCTCACTAACTTGCTGCTAGCGTTGCCTAAGCAGGTGCATCTTTAGCTGGTTATGCATAGCACTGGTATTGTTGTTGTGCTTTAGGACAGTCTGCTCTGACGGAGTATTTCCACAACATTGATTTTAGTCCAGCTTCTGAATCTGGTCACACGGCCATGTTTCTTTCTGGCTCTTGCTGCATGTCTGCTGCTTTAGCACCCACACTGCAGTGTTTAAGTGATGCATGAAAACTATGACTTGTCAACTGCTTTTCAACAACACCCCCCCCTGTTGCATATCTGCTGGAGATGCTACTGCTTAAATACTGCACTGTGCTAAACCCACAGATTAACAGCTAGTCTGCAATTATGCACAGTGTTGATGAGTGGTGGATAGTTTGATCGTCGACTAGTCAGTGGAAGTTTTATTTTACACCTATAATGACTCAAAAGAAGAAACCCAGTCTCTAAGAACTCAGAGAATCATCACCTCCAGCTCTACTGAGCTTTCTGGACACATTAGGTAATTGTTTTGGTTGAATCTGATGAAGGCTCTGTCTGTGGAGTGTGCATGTTCTTCCTATGTTTGCGTGGGTTTTCTCTGGGTACTCCAGACATGCAGACCGGGGAAAAATAGAGACTTCAAATTGACTGTAGTCTTAATGTATGTTGTCTCTGTGTTGACCTTGCAAATAGATGGATGTAGTGGATCATTTAGCAGCTGAAGAAAATACACACGGTATAAGGCTTAAATTTTCCAGATGGAGAGAAACGTGATTTCAAATTAAAACAAATTGTGCTTCTTGTCTGCTCAGACATATCAACTGGACACGTGGACATATGTCAGTGCTGCCTCCTAGTGGCCATAACAGTTAATGTAGAGACAGGCCTTTAAAGCGACCCTAATCAATTTATTTTTAATTATAATAATTGATCAAACGACTATGTATTGTGAAAGGTGTTACAAATAAAGATGAACTGAGAGATTTATCAGCCAATTTTATGATTCACCTCATGTTTACAGAGCTTTTTAGCCTCTTTAGGCTCATTGTTTTGATGTGTGTGTTAATAGGACTATAGCTATTTGTTACAGGTTTCCCATAACCTCTTAAAATGTCACAGATAATATCTCAGCTGTTGTGTCTTCAGCTTCTTGTGGAGTTACTCTGCTCCCATGTGACTACAACATTAACTCGTGCAGCTCTGAATGAAACAGATGATTAAAAAATGGGGAACTACCATAAGTCCTGCACTAATTATAAAAACACATTATCATGAATGACACTATTGTCCTTTTACCTGTCACAGAACAGGACAAATATGACGTACGAGAAGATGTCGCGAGCACTGAGACACTACTACAAACTGAACATTATCAGGAAAGAGCCTGGACAAAGACTTCTGTTCAGGTACGTCAACTTAAATCAATTAATTGGGACGAAATGTAATTACAACAGGGTTCTAAATAATTAACCAAACTTCTGTTGACTCATCCGTGTCGTGTTCCCTCAGGTTCATGAAAACCCCCGACGAGATAATGAACGGACAGACGGACCGACTGGAGCACCTGGAGTCCGACACAGATGAACAAATCTACATCAAGGAGGAATGCTGAGGAACGCTGGGGGGGAAAAAACTGTCCACAAACTCCTTACTACTAAAACTACTACAGCCGCTGATGCCTTTCTGACGCAGCTTGAACAATCGATGTTGAATCCGGAGCGTGCGGACGTTCCCTCATATCATTCCTACACAGCGAGACGTGAAATCTGATCCCTCTTGTGATTGCCTTAGGATGATCCCTTTCTGAAGTTAAACAGACACACACAGCACCAGTTGTTTTGATTTCCCCGGTGGGCAGAAACTTTCCATGTGCGCCCCTCTTTGTTTCTGAATGAACTGCAGAAGCCAATCACATGTGCGTATGTCACTTTTATGATTTTTTTTTTGTCTCTTCACCTGCATTATATTACGGAATTTTGTAAAAAGAAAATTGTGTGTGTTTGTGTGTGTGCCTGTGTGCGTGCGAGTGTGTGTATGTGTGTGTGACAGGAATGTTTTCACCATGGGAATTAAACATTTTTGATCAAACTGAATCTTCTTATTGTGGATAATATACTCAATTCTTTTCTGTCCAGTATTTCTCAATGTGTCAATACACTGAGATGTGAAATACACAAACTGATCATATGGGGGCACTAGCACACAACTTTTAAGAGAGGGGAGCGTCTCTGTGGATAGTCGCCTCAGTTCAACAGTTCAAGCTCCACACCTTTTCAATGACATGGTCATTGAGAGAGGAAACTGTGTCTCACTTCATTTGGTTTTCAGAAGGTTGAACTAACTGTGTAACTTCTACCATTCTGTGGTGTTATTGAAATGTCTATTAATTAATCTGAGTTATCACTGAATATCCATCATTTATGTGTCCTACCTCACCAAAGGCACAACAGCGGCTCAAATATACTTTTGTTTTAAATTCTCAATCTAGTATTTTTGATAAATATATAAAAAGTATTAATGTATGTTTAGTGAGTTATTAAATGTACAAATGAACCTGGCAATATAATGAGGATCAAACAGTTCCGCATAATAAGAACGACCCATGATCACATTGAGGTTCATGTGGATACAATGGAAACACCCTCTTTTTTACGCACTATGACATTCACATCCAACAGGTTCAATGTAGGTAACCAGATTCGTGACAGTAATCAGATTACAGCAGTAACGTTGTTGGAGAGGGAAGCGGCGGCGGCGCAGCGTGCGCTCCGGAGTCTCCATAAAAAGTTGTTGCGCGCAGAGCACAGCTGTCAGACTGAGGAGAGACGCTGCGCAGGGAAGAGCTGAGGAGACTGAGGAGGACCCAACACACTCTCATGTGTTATATTCACACATATATGTTTATTGAATCAGTGTGAGGGTGCTCTGAGCCTTTGGGTGCGTGTCGCCCGCTCAAAGACGCACGGACAGGACGCATCCAACGCTCTTTATCCGCCTGAGTGTTCCGGGCTTGTGGACATACTGGAGTAAAACACTGGTTCGGACGCACGGGGAATCTGCGGCGGATGAGATGTTGGGACAAGATTCATGCTGAGAGATTCTGCTGCTTCATTTTCATCCAGCAACAGACAAGTGAACGCCTGAACGCAAATGTTTCCACATCACAGACTCAGCCCTGGATTGTAGCAGCGGCCCCACCGATGGTTTGAACAAGGGCGTTAAGGTGCGGGAAGGGAGTGGGACAATTACAGGTAAGAGACATTCAACCGACCCCCGACCCCTTTTTCCTGCCCTGAGACTTGGCTCGCTTTGAGACCAGCACCAATATCCAATCAACACTGAGGCAGTCACCACAAAACCCAGTGCATTTATTCAAAGTGTCACATCGTCCTCCAGGGACCATGACATAACATTTCTATGTTAACATTATTAAAATAATAATAATATTTCATCCACGTGGTAATAAATACATTTACTTTCCTCTTTTCCACCATTAGACACTGAGGAAAAGCTGCATCTGTCTTTCTTGAAGTAATAATGCAGTGATGCCTCATATTTGCCTCCAGCATAGTAATTTATTTATTTAATTTTAGAATTGTATATTGTATTTCAATTACTTTATTCGATTTTTTACGCTGTATTGTATATTATATTTTATTTCATTTTATTTTACCGCAGTACCTGAGCTGAAAATGATGGGAGTGAACATCAGTCGTTAAAATCATTGAACTTAACCAGATCAGTGTGTTATATTGGGTCAGCAGATGTTAACAGCCTCTATATTGGAATGAAATCACTCTGGACCCACATCTTCACTATAACATCTGTCTTCATTCCAAACCCAACAATGACCACAGCTCACACGTCCCTGTGTGTTGGTGTCACTAGCGGCAGCACCACGTTCTGTTGCTGCTCTCAGGACTCGAGTCATTCCCATGATTCCACCTCCTGCTCTCAGACTAACGTGAGCTCACCTGAAGCAAACAGTCGAGCATCATGCGACTCCTCTGATGACGTAATCCGGCGAAACACCAGGGGCAGCGAGGGGCTTGAGACGGAGCTGATCCGGACTCCTGCACATCCCTGCAACATACATACATGCAGGGCTTTTAAAAGGGAGCATGAAGGAATGGGACACGCTGACAGTTTCATGTCTGGCACACAGAGATGACAGAGTGGGTGGAGGGAGAGCGTGGATCGAGATGTGTCAGTGCAGCATTGGTGTCCAAACTCATTTTTATATGTTTTTAAAGGTAAAATATACAGTTCGAGCTTCATTTCAAGGAAGAACACATTTTCTTAGTTAAAGGAAAACTCCAACGGTTGAGGAGAATCTGCAAATGTGTGAACCAACCCTGACACCATCAGGGTTAATCTTTCAAAGTCATCCCATAGAACACATTTGAGAAGGCTGCATGATAAATCAACTGGCCTTCATGAGTAAAACCACTGAACAGTACCTTGAAAGAGAAGCACTTAGCTCCATATCTTCTGCTTCCCTATTTCTTAATTTTACTAGCAGAGAAATCTTTCTAATATCTTCAAAAATCAGCTCAGCGTTAAACGAAGATGAAGCCATCTCTGTTATTTGGAAGAGACTTGCAGCTACAAGCTTGAGCCGTTTTCAGACATGAACTCTGAAAAACGTTCGGCACAACTTCGGCCTTTTCAACAAAGGCTCTCGACTTCCATCATCTTTCAAGTTGACATCTTTTCCTGCGTGTGGCTCCTCCTTTTCATCCATTTGTGTTCTTCCACTTTTGCATTTGTCACATGTTCAAAACGTCATCAGCACGTCCACTTGCCAACCATGAAATTTCCACCCTCTCCATGGATCACCCTCTCCATGGATCACCCTCTCCATGGATCACCCTCTCCATGGATCACCCTCTTCGAATCATTTCAGGAAAATATCACTGCATGTGTGAAAAGCAGCTTTAGTTTGACGGAGCACAATTGGAAGAAGAATGATGAATGTTGATTCCTCACAATGATGATGTGCATACTGTCTTTTCTAAACCCAAAATGGAACTAAATGTCTAAATTCTTTACTCAAGTGTTTCCGTATATCTACGTAAACCTTTCAATGTGAATGGTATCATTTAAATATTACTTAATTTTAAGAGGAGATAATATTCAATAGTTTAAAAAACGTCAAAAGTAAAAACAAACTATCTATCTATCTATCTATATTTATAAATATATACTACAATGTGTAAAAGCTTTACCTCATCAATCATCTCTCAAAACCCCAGATTTATGTTGTGACCCTCTGAAGGGCCCAGACCCTTATGTTGGTGACCACTGGACTAGACACTATAACTGTGTATTAAATAGTTCAGTCACATGGGTCATTTTCTGCATATGGAGTAGTTTGAGGTACTTTACCAGGTATTTTCTTCTCCATAAATCTCTCTTTAACTCATAATGGAGTATTTCTATTGCAGCCCTGCTCCTTTGACTTTAGAGAAGGAACTGAATACTTTTCTCCTCCAGTGTCTCTGCACAGAGCAGAGATGCAGCAAATCACACACTGACGTCATCTGGCAACTTCCAGCAACTTTCTCGCAGCCAATAGCTGCTTCCCTCAGAAAGAACTGGCAGCGCTGGCAGTCACCAATTAGCTGGAAGCATTAGCGGCAGCTCCTCCACCATGAACCATCAGGTCTAATGCTCCGGGCAGCCAAGCTCAGGTCAGGCCGCTCCCCCTCCAGCTGGGCATCCTGGTGCCGACTGTCTGGTCAGCGCCGGTGGATCTGCCAATGTCACCTTTTTTTGTATTTGAGCGGGTCACATGACCTTGCCATCATGCTGCCTTGCCGTTGATCCAGAGAGATGACACAGAGACTTCATGGTCCGCTGCTCCTCGCCAACCAGGCCGACTTAGTTCTGCCTCCGAACAGCTGCCACGTGCAACACACCAGCAGCAGGGGGTCTTTGAAGTAATCTTTTTCATGAAACTTCTTTTATTTTATTTCAGTTCTTTCAAAGCAGCAGCACACTAGGGACCTACATTAACAAATAGCTGCGTTAGAAAAAGTGTTTACAGTAAAACAGGGATGCACAACAAGACAGTCATTAAAATACATTTAGATTGTGTGACACATTTTCAACAGATTAGAATCCTAACAGGACCAACAGTGACAGTCAGAGCGTTGTTTAAAGGGTCAAGACGTTTAATAAGGTCCTTGAATATAAAGTTAACATGTTTACTATGGTGTTGGGTGTAGAATAACCGACACTGAACCTTAAAGAAACAGCTGTCGACATTAGTTCAAATGCTCGTTGTTCAAACATTATATGATCGGAACACAAGACTTTTTATCCTTCTATTGTTTGATGTTGGTGCGACTTCCTTTGCGTTGGTTTGAGAGTCTGAAGTATCCAGAAAAATGCTTTCAAACCAGAAATAAGTCTGTTTGTCTGGACCATGGTCTGAGGCGCGTTTCACACCCGTTACTTTTGTTCAGACTAAATTGAAAAGTGTAAAGGTCCGGACCAAACCAGGTAGGTGTGAAAGTGTACTGGACTGCCCTATCTGCAATAACATTAATTATTAACATGGATGCTGCTGAAGTATCTGTGCTGTACCTTGCACATGAAGTCCAAACATTTCTTTTTTGGCCACATTGTTCAGCCCGACATCTTTTGTACAAATATGACAGCGGTTTCTATCTTCTCATTTACTTCTCAAGTTAAATATTTCTTAAAAACCTGATTCATTTCGTTACCAGTGAGGACAGACAGTTTCTTTTGTTTCCATCCAAATCTAAGAGTATTTCTTTGCTGACGTATCTCGACATGTTAAAGAAAGTGAAAAAAATATTCCCTGATCTGCTGTTTAACCGGATTTGCTGTTAAAAGTTTTTGGATCCTTGGTCGTGCAGCCCCCCTCCACCAAATTTAGAGGAAAGCGGTTCAGTAGTTTTTTAGTTGTCCAGCTAACTAACAAACAATGGAAACAAACCTGATTGGTCGACGTGATAACTCGGCCAGTGGTAGTTGGGACTCATTAACATAACTGACGTTGTCGATCACAGTATGTTCACGATAACCAATTCTTCAGTTTGGGGCTCTGGGTACAGAGAACAGGTGAGGCAACCAGTCCAGCAGCAGGTCTTACTTCAGCCTCACCACAGGCCAAACTAACAGCCCGTTCCAAACCGGCAGGACGGACACTGCACTAGTGTTACTTAATCTTTTAACTTAACAGAAAAGGAAATAATGTTTGTATCTGCTGGAATCAGAACATTGGCACTGCCAGGTTTTTCCACATTGTTCTAATAATTAAAAACATTTTTTTGTGTGAGCTGCCGGTGGATTTATTCCTCGCCGGTTCAAATGAAAGACTTGGGTGGAGGTCATGTGCTCGGCTGTACTTCCTTGATAGAAGCTCTCTTTCTCTCAAACTGTTGGAATGTGTGTAAAGTATTGGCGGCTGATTGGCTCCCGCTGTGCCGATGTTTGATGTAAGAAGGAAGCTTTTTTCTCCCCTTCGCTCTCTCTCTCTCATTCTATTTGATGTGCACTCGCTCTCACTTTCATTTGAAGTAAAACAAATTCAGCAGCCGATGAATAAACAGCAGCTCCGCACAGATGATAAAATAATAGCAAAAGGTTCCATTCCATTTTTCACTTTGACCTCTGTCCCCTCCTCCACCTTCTGTCTCTTCTTCTGATTGGATTTTTTTCCTCCCAACACTTTTTGGCAGGACTTTATTCTGACTGGTGCTTTCACCTTTCTTCATATCTGCTGTGGGATTTTCTTCGGCCAAAGGTCAAACAAATATGACTGAAGCTGCTGCCTTCAACTCAGCGCTTTGTGTTTACCAGTCAAACTCACTGCTGTAAACACCATAAACTCCTCCTGTGACCTGGAGCTTCAAGTTGGAATCATCTCCTGTTCTTTCATATATAGCTACAGCAAAGTACCACAAAGTGTACAGCTGCAGATTTTGCAGTATTTGTTCTTACCTATGCCCAGTGGAAGGACGTGATGTGACCCAGGGAGGAACCCATTAAAATTTGGTGCAGATCCAGATCGGGGGTTGTATTCAGAAACTTCTTTTAACTTCCTTTAACACTGTGAGATAAGGCCTATTGCAACATTTTCTCAGGGAATTATTTATGGTTTAAAAAAAAAAATCATACATATTTAAGAACTGCTATCTGTGAGTTTGTAAAGTTTGGTGCAGCTTGATTGAAATTAAAGTGACTGCTGGGTCTTGGTGGAGGTTGACGCTCTATTGAGTGACATTCTAGTTGGGTTTGTTTTTCAGTAAAGAACATACACCATTCAAAGAAATCAGGAACATATTATTTGTTATTTCAACAAAATGTGGTCAATAATTTAAAGACCTGAAAATGTGACTATGAGCATGATGAAGACAGAATTAATAAAATTAGCAATTCAGCAAGTAATTCAGAATGGGACTATATCTAAATTATTAAAAAAATAGATGCACATGCCTGTAGAAAAACCTCCAGATTAATTGATCATGTTTTTGCAGCCGACCATCATTATCATCATTTTTTGCTTTGTTTTTTAGAGGATTCTTGAAATACGACCTAGAAGTGACAGGATGAAAGAGAGAGTGACCTGAATTGGTCAGAGTTTTAAACCCTTCAGACCATCCGGATGTCCTGACACTCACTTCACTCAATATTGCTCTGATCGAGAGACTTTAACAAGTTTACAGTTAATATCGGCCAATTTTCAAGTAATTTCTGAATATCAGGATTATACTGAATGCTGCTCATTTTACGTGTGTACTGACAAAGTACCAGTGTTTGTTAAATGCACAGAATGTGGTGACGACTTGGATGCTGGTAGTTGCTCGTCACTGCCAGAGCACCAGCAGCTCTCCTGTGTCTCCTGTCCTTTCTCTTTCATTAATAACTCACATACTGCTGACACAGCAGTCAGCAGCCAATTTGGTTTGGAACCGCTGAGTTTCTGGTTTAGTGGACAACCCGCTCTACTACCCGAGCCACAGCCATACCCAATACCTGACTTAAGGTCATCATAACTCGGGGGTTATAATCTTTTTAATGTGCAAAGTCAACATGGTTAAAAAAACAAC